CCGCGTGTTTGCTTCGTCATGAAAGGATCTCACTCAATAAAGGAAATCTTGAGGTATTATCAGAAAGTGACTGATTTTATTGAAAAGAAACATCCTGAAAAGGTTCTCACTTGGCTGTATTGCTGCTCAGTTTAATGACATTTGCCTAAGTTATTTTAGAAACATTTTAAAAAGTAGGCAAAGCCAAACAAACTTCTTTGAATAGATATTTTACCAAACGATCTCTATCCAGTGAAAGTACTGGTGGAAGTGAAGGAAAGAAAGCAAAAGGCAGTGAATAAAAATTAAAAAATAATATATAAAACAGAAAAGATAAAAGTAACTTATTGTTACATTATGTTATGTAAGTTAACTTTTAGTAACATTTCCCTTTTCCCTCTCCTCTGCCACCAGTTTACACCTCCACTGTTGTCTATCCTCAGAGGTAAAGGGCAAATAAAACTACATTTTTTTAATCAATTATTATTCTATTATGGTTATTTATACATTTACAACTACAAAATGCATTTTTCAGTGTTTTCCTTGCTAAAGTTGTTATTATTATTTTTTAATGTACAGTAATACCTCTACTTACGCTATCCCAACTTATGCGAACCTAGAGTTACGTGATATTCAAATCTTGTCGATTCGTCTTTTGTTTCAGCGCCACGCAACTCTTTATTACTCACTCCCCCCACACTATTGTTCAGCTTACATGTNGTTGTTTCTGTGTGGATGCATAAAGTTTTATGTCGTCCATGTACATGAGATGTGACAGCATAAACTGTGCTGTTTTTTTGTGTCTGATATTGTAGCCATATTGCGTGTTGTTTAACATGTTAGATAATGGGTTCAGGGCAAGGCAGAACCAGAGAGGACTGAAGAAATCTCCTTGAAAAATTCCTCGCCTAATGAATATTTGGTATGTTTGTATGGAAGTGTTACTAACCCTGAGATGCAGTGTTGTTCTCCAGTGCTGCATAGTGGTTTGGAAGAATGCAATGAGTGACGGATTTATTTTGTACATGTGTAGAATATGTAGCAGCCAACTGTGTGGAATGCGGTCGAATACTTTTCTGTATATGGTCTATATATGCCATGTGTTTGTTTCTGTGTTGTTTGTGTGCTTGCTGTAGAATGACTGAATCTATGAGTAACTGTTCTTTGCATCCCCTGTGATTTCTACAGCAACCTTTTTGGTGTTCTGTGAGAATGTCATGTTCTTCAACATGTTTGTATATTTTGTTTGTGATACATGCTGTCAATAATTTATAGAGTGTTGGGAGACATGTAATTGGTCTGTATTGTGTGGGGTCTGTGGTGGTGGTGTTTTTAGGTTTCATGTAGGTGATGCCCTGAGTAAGAAATTTTGGCATGTCTTGTGGGTTGATGATGATGTGTGTTAGATGTTTAGCTAGTTGCTGGTGCAGTGATGTAAACTTTTTGTACGAGAAATTGTGAATGTTGTCTACATTATGTGTCTTCCAGTTGTGTGTTCTGTTAACAGTGTAGTGAATGTCGTCTACATTTCTTTCAGTACAGGGCATAGTTGGTATGTTGTGCAAGTTTCTGTTATTTTCTATGATCCAGCCTGCATTAGCGTTGTGTGTAACATCATTGGACCAAAGGGAAGACCAATAACTTGTGAGTTCTTCTTCTGTTGGTGTGCCACTGTGCTGTGTATTAGTGTTTGTTTAGGTACTGATTTGTCTGTAGAAAAGTTTTTCGTTGTTTGTGAATAATTTATTTTGTTGTTTTTGTAATGTACATGTTTTGTATTGTTTGAGTCTACGTGCTTTGGCTGCGAGTTTTTGTTTTAGTGTATCGATGTATTCTGTAATGTGTGTGTTGTGATGTTCATGTTTTGTGTGTTTTGATTTTCTTGAAAATGTTTTTGAGTTGTTTTTTTAATTTGGGTGTTATGTTGTTTTTAGTGTATCATGTCAGCCTGTTTAATTGCTGTCTAATGTCATTTATTTGTGTTTCTATTCTTCTCTGTTAGGCAGGCGTGTGATAGAATTGTGTTTTGTGTGTGTTTGTCTGCGATTGTATTTTCAGTCCATGGTGTGTTACTACTGTGACTACCCCAGCATAAACTAATGTATGAATATCTGAGAGTGTAGAAATTGAATGAATGTAGTTTGGTAGTAAGTGAGTGTTTACATAATTTAGTGTTTTTCCTACTACCTTTGACATGTTGATTTTCGGTATTCGTGGTCTTTGTGTCTGTGATCTGTGCCTGTATATTTAGTGTGTGTTTCCTGAAATATAAGTGAGAGTGTATTAACTAAATCTATATTTATGTTATCAGTGGTGGATGAGGAAGTGTCTATAGTATCATTAATGGTATTTGTTGTATGTGTACTATTATCAATGCTTGTTGCTGGATTGACCTGACAGGTTACGTGATCTTTATTAATGTTAAATGTTTCTGTCTGTTGATGTATCTGTTGATGTATTTGATCAGCTGCCTGTTGTTTGATAAGTTCACAAGTTTGATAAGTGGGTTTTACTTTCTTGTCATCAGATCTGGAGGATCTGCTTACCTTGTCAGTGGATGGCTTCAAATACTCACATTCTTGGTGGGATATAGGAAGTCGAATGTGCTTTCCTTTAATTTTGTGTGACCCCTGCCTAAAGAACACATTAGGCCCACGAGAATAGTTAAAAGGATTTGAGCGGGAGGGTGTATGGACTCGTGATGAGATGTTGGCAATTATATGAAGACAAGTAGGAGGCCATTAAATAAATTCAAAATCAGTTTTAATAAAAATAAACAAATGGAAAAAATTAAAATACAAAAATGAGACTTATATTTTTTTATTAACCAAGAGAGAGAGTTTACAAACAGATTATTATTATTTTCTTGGACATTCCCTTTGATTCTGCTGCAGGGAGGAGCAGGAAGTTTTACTTCTAGTGACGTTGCTGGATAGTAGTAGTAGGAGAGTGACAGAGCAAGGCTAGGCACCTGACAAATTGTCTAGAACTGCCCCGAATGAGTGGAAATTTGTTCTTTTTCACATTTCACATTTTTTATTATGATTCTATCTTCATCTTTAACACCAACTTGTATCTATAAACCTTTTATAGGTGCATGTATTATCTCACTGTATAACAGTTACGAACATTTTCGAACCATTATGGTTCTTCTTCAGGTAACAATCCTCTGTGTAAGTACAAGGCATGTATGATGACAACATTTGGAATTAAGGGTGCCTCATGCAAATTGACTGTGACAGAATTGCCATGCGAAAATATAAATATTGGAAGCTGATTTTACTGTACATGAGCAGTGACAAAAGCAATCTAGTTGTTTAAAAATCATGCTAAGTGGCAAGCCAACATGATATTGTGAAAGGAGGACAGTATACAAGGACATTTTATTGTTTCTTCCAAACTGAATATTTTTATACTTTAGCAAACATTTAATGTGGTGTTTTTAAAATATATTTGTTTTATTATCTTCAGCACTTAATTCCTTGCTTTTGGGAGTTTTGGGATATTTTTAATTTTATATCATTTTTTAGGTCTGGTATTTTTGCACACTTATAAATCTTTTATATGCATTGGCAAGAAATTTGTTATTATATATATGTTACAGTCAAAACCCGTTTTTAGTTAGAACGCGTTTTAACTAGTTGAAACTAGTTTATACTGAATGTGTTTGTTAAAACCNCAGATTCTGATCATGGATCTGAAGATTAAAATGGTTCTCATACATAATGTAAATAATTCATTTTTCTGTTTTGTGTACAGTAATTTTTTAGTTAAACTTTTTGTATTGTATATTTATTAATAAAACATTTAATTAAATAGTTTGTGATTAGTTTGTATTTAAAATATGCAACATTTGTTGATAATCTATATATTTCTTTGTATTAAAAGCTAGATAAAACTAATGAACTTGCAGATCCGTACAGGTATTAAATAAAAATACTATACATTGAAAAGCCCTTGTTCTTTGGGTTTTTTTAAACTGAACTCTTGGGGATTTTGAGATTCAGTGATGAAGTAATAGCAAGAATGATATTCTATTGTACAGGTGTCCTAATAACCTAGTCAAGCTTAGTGAAATAAACATTATTTAACAAATAGTAAAAGTCAGAAAGAGAACAAATGTTTCAGTGTGAATGATTTTGGATTTTAGCATTAGCATTTCTTATTTGATCAGTTTAAGTTTTATCCATTCAATAGAAAAAAAATCATAATTTTATATTTTCAGTCTGTATAATGTATTTGTCTTCAAAGTGTCCAAAGTATATGTTACTGACAATTTGGTTTTAGTAATTCTAAAATTTATTTATGTTTAGATAATTTCAATTGCTGTACCTTCAATTAATTCTTCAAGACATTTACAATAGATATGAGTATTAATGAAACTGAAATTTTACAATTGGTGAACAAAATGGTTGGTATTGACATCAGCCAAGAATTCCTGTATATTGGGGTTGTATACATATGCTTATTGTATGAAAAAATTTGTGATGTATTTTGACAGGATGGACTTCTCCAGATCTTATTGGCTCCCTAGTGTGCAAGTATCCAGTATAGTTTATGGATTTATTTCTTTTTGAACAAGACTATCTGTTGGGCTAATATGATGACCTGTTTGTTAACATTCTTTAATAAATCCAGGCTATTTATTGTTGAATAGGCAGTCTTCCAAGGAGACCAACTGGCAGAGAAGGACTATTTTACAGTTCCAATTACCACCTTTAACCATAAGAACCTCAGTTTAGGGAAAAGTGTACCATAACTTTTCAGTAGACATAATCTCTAGACTGACATCATCAAGTACACACCATTATTTCAGCACTCAACTAAGAAACCAAATTTCATGGTGATCTTGCAGAACTTTATGTTCCAATAAGATTTGGCTGTAGTAGTCATAATTTGAAAAAAACCTGCTACAGCATATCACTTAATAGGGTGGAGGTCTGGGTAGTGTAACTGGCATAGTAACACACTTTTTAATACAGAAGATATAATTTATTAAAATATTTATTTTTAATTTCTAGCCTTACTTACTTGGATCGTCACATCCAGACAAGTATGCCAGGTACTCGTATGGATGACTGGCAGCCACTTGTTACATATCGAAACAGTCTGGTGCATGGAGAGGCTGAACAACCACCTCCAAGAGCTCCGGGACGTCAGTACAGAGGGAAGAAACGACAACGGGAGGATGGAAAACTTATGGAGGCAGTACAATGGGAAAATTTTCCATACATACGTAAGTTATAAAAAAAAATTATTTTTTCTGTTAAACATTGTTTGTTTCAATATAGAGATAATTAAAATTTTAATTGAATGAGGACAATGTCATTAGTTTTACTGGTCAAATTGAGATGCTGATGCTTTTACCAGAATAGTATGCAAGAATAATTGATTTTATTTAGTCTGTTCATGTAAAATTGTATTCTTTACTTTTGCATGGAATGCATCAATAAGTGCTGTAGTTTATTATGACTCTCTCATTTTGTTGACAGGAATAGCAAAATTGTTTACAGAGTGGATAATCATCACTACAACCATTAAAAGATTAAATATAATCTGCTACATCACAAAAGTGCATAGTAAGTAATGAGTGTTCCAATTTGCTATGCATTTTGTTTCATGAGAGTTGAGCAAAAACAAAATATGTTAAACATTTAATTATTGTGTAGCAGAAATCAAGACTACCAATGATATTTTAAATCCTTAAAAATTTTAAAACTACTACTTATTACCAATGTTGCCTAGGCTACAATGGCTTTAGGGCTGTTTACTTGAATGTTTAAAATAGTATTACTTTTTTTTTGGTCCTTAAACACCAGTTGAAAACAAAGCAGAGAAAAATTTGGTTTTGTATACTGGTATGTTTTTAGATTATATACCAATTCTTGAAGTGTTATTATGAATGGAAGATACACTTGGTGAGGATAGTGGCTTAAATGGGGTATCTTAATGAGGTTTAACTGAGAATATCATCTGTACATGAAGTTAACAGACTTCATTAGATAAATATATAAAGATTATAAAAAATTAATTCCATAACAATTTGATTAGAATATAAAATTGATTAGTTATCATAAATTTCAGTGTTAATTTAGAAATATGTTCTTATCTATTAATTACTAAAGTACGAGAATTTATATTACCACTTGTGAAAATAGTTTTAATTTATCCTCGTAAGGTTCTTTTATACATATTGTATAAAAGAACCTTAAGAGGAATTACGAGAAGAATGTATCTCATATGACTATGTGGGATTAAAAAAACTAATTTTTTTTAAATGTATCTATTGGACTAAAATTTACTATTTCTGAACTTGCTCTTTTAATAACATTTTTATATCTGACTTTGTTTTCTTCTAGAAGAAGGCCGCCCACAAGAGGAAGAAAACAACATTGATGCAGATTCTGATCATGGATCTGAAGATTAAAATGGTTCTCATACATAATGTAAATAATTCATTTTTCTGTTTTGTGTACAGTAATTTTTTAGTTAAACTTTTTGTATTGTATATTTATTAATAAAACATTTAATTAAATAGTTTGTGATTAGTTTGTATTTAAAATATGCAACATTTGTTGATAATCTATATATTTCTTTGTATAAAAAGCTAGATAAAACTAATGAACTTGCAGATCCGTACAGGTATTAAATAAAAATACTATACATTGAAAAGCCCTTGTTCTTTGGGTTTTTTTAAACTGAACTCTTGGGGATTTTGAGATTCAGTGATGAAGTAATAGCAAGAATGATATTCTATTGTACAGGTGTCCTAATAACCTAGTCAAGCTTAGTGAAATAAACATTATTTAACAAATAGTAAAAGTCAGAAAGAGAACAAATGTTTCAGTGTGAATGATTTTGGATTTTAGCATTAGCATTTCTTATTTGATCAGTAAGTTTTATCCATTCAATAGAAAAAAAAATCATAATTTTATATTTTCAGTCTGTATAATGTATTTGTCTTCAAAGTGTCCAAAGTATATGTTACTGACAATTTGGTTTTAGTAATTCTAAAATTTATTTATGTTTAGATAATTTCAATTGCTGTACCTTCAATTAATTCTTCAAGACATTTACAATAGATATGAGTATTAATGAAACTGAAATTTTACAATTGGTGAACAAAATGGTTGGTATTGACATCAGCCAAGAATTCCTGTATATTGGGGTTGTATACATATGCTTATTGTATGAAAAAATTTGTGATGTATTTTGACAGGATGGACTTCTCAAGATCTTATTGGCTCCCTAGTGTGCAAGTATCCAGTATAGTTTATGGATTTATTTCTTTTTGAACAAGACTATCTGTTGGGCTAATATGATGACCTGTTTGTTAACATTCTTTAATAAATCCAGGCTATTTATTGTTGAATAGGCAGTCTTCCAAGGAGACCAACTGGCAGAGAAGGACTATTTTACAGTTCCAATTACCACCTTTAACCATAAGAACCTCAGTTTAGGGAAAAGTGTACCATAACTTTTCAGTAGACATAATCTCTAGACTGACATCATCAAGTACACACCATTATTTCAGCACTCAACTAAGAAACCAAATTTCATGGTGATCTTGCAGAACTTTATGTTCCAATAAGATTTGGCTGTAGTAGTCATAATTTGAAAAAAACCTGCTACAGCATATCACTTAATAGGATGGAGGTCTGGGTAGTGTAACTGGCAATGCATCCACATGGCAAGCGGCAGTTGCAGGTTCAAGTCCTGCTCAGGGCCAATTCTTAGGCTATAGGGCTATAGTTAGAACCTGATTCAAGTCCCGATCCCAATTCCAGTTGATCAATCTTCAAAAGTCTGGTAAAACAATCAATGTTTCTTGAAATATCAAAAGCCATAATTTCCCAAATATTGGTCACACAAAGAAAATTTTGACCTCACTGTAATCCTTATGACTTGCTTTATCCAAATATATATGCCACTACAAACACAATAATCCCAAGAAAAACACCATGAATTATGAACTCTATGCAAACATGGTATCAGCCTGAAGCATCCCTGAAGTTATATATAACTGGTATACAATTCAAATAGAATGCAGAATTTTGTTATATAATAATTAAGTAATGATGGCAGCTGAAAGACATTTAACCTGTTCAAGGCCATGACAGTATACTTCTTGATATGATTTAAATTTGGCTAATTTTTTCAGACTTATCACACCTTGTAGGTCAAGTGATGAAAACATATTTTGGATCTGATCTCAGACTATGCTTTTATTAACATTGGAAATGCATTTTAGACTCTACAGCCCCTCATCAGTCCAATCAGCTTGTACAGATGACTATATATATGCCAGAATCTTTTCTTATGAATATGATATGATGATGATACTGCTCTTGACATTGTATCTTTGAAGTGGTGCCCACAAGATTTTTACCTGTATTATTGTTTTCTACATTTTGCCTCCAAGTGCCAAGTTTATCCTTACCAAAGAAAGAAAAGGTATTCTAGATAAATCAAGAACCAGATTAGTAAGCATACTGTGTGTTATTTATTTTAGCTTTTCCTAGCAGAACAGAAATAATGCTGAAATTATTAATCCAAAGAAAAATTGCATTTTCAATATTCATTTCGGTTGGTGCCAACTGAATGCTTTAGATAGGCTGTTTAGAAAAAGTTTTAATTTGCATAAATTTGAGCTTTTATCCTGGATAACATTTTGAATAAAATTCATGTTCTGATGCAATATTATCCTTATAAGCATAAAATTAAGCCATATAAAACTGAAATAACTCAATGGGGAAACCCCTGTAAACTTTGACCTATCAACCTGGAAGTTTCACTGGCACCTTACTAATAGCGAGAAAACCTTAAGTTTAAAACTTGAGCTTTCTAGACCTAGTATTTTCTCTACAAGCATCTGCAGTACCAGATGAAGGAGAAGAAAATGCAGCTTTTTTGACAGCCATTTATAGAAGAAAACATTGAAATTTTGCACACTACCTAATAAAACAATTATCTGCCAAACGAGATATTTGGAATTACTTCAAGTGTTTGGGGAGGAGAAACTGAACCCCAAAAATTGATAATGCTTTTATATATACTGTATTTGTGGAAAACTGGCAACTCATTTATATATATACTAGCAGGTAGGCCCAGCGTTACTTGGCCAAAAGTAACGATAGGGAAGATTAACATTATTATGTTATAGTCAACCTTACCCGTTTTCACAGAATGCAAGAATTGGGTCCCCCTGTTTCCGGACAGATTAGAGAATTTTTAGATGGGTCTAAAAATATGTTCGATTTCCTGCAAAAACGAAAAATCTGCATCTGCGTCTTGCACGAAGCCTTAATCCTCTATCTCTCTCCCCGGGGGAATTTCAAAAAATCCCTTCTTAGAGCCGCCACAAACTAGCGCTTTGCGAGAGCAAAATGCTAGCAAACATGCGCTAGCACAACCAACGACGATGAAGGCTCCGCCCCTTTCTTCTTGCCCGCGCTGTTTTTCCTTCGCTAGCGCAGCGATACGAGAGTACGCTCACTGTTCACAGAATTCAACAACTAGAGCATTTACGCTAGCAAGAGAGAGCGGGGAAGACGGATGACTACATAAACTTGTCACATATCAAAAAAGAAATAATAGAATTTTATCGATGTACGTAAATTACATGATTAATACATTCAGTATTGAAAAGAAAATAGTATAACCGTTGTATGTAAATAGTAATATACAGTATAAATAGTTTTCGGCTAGTTAAGCTTAACTAGTAAACATGTTTTTTCCATGCTGTTTCAAAGTTCGGAACGAAAACTGACTGATTACAAGTATAGGTTATAATAAAATCTTGTTCTATAGCCAATCTACATCTGTTTTCTTGGCCTTTTACATGGGCAGTTTTCTTTAGTCTTTACCGATGTGTCTTCAGAATATATGGCCAGCTTCTTGGACTGCCTGTTAAACACGTGATAGACTTAGCGGAGAGAGCAACATGACTCCCGATTGCAATGAAGGTTGTTAAAGTTTGATTATCAATAAACATGATGAGATAATGAAATACTTTTTTAATAGGGACAATATGTATAAAGAATCAGAAAGTGCCACCTAGTGATAAACTCTAAAATGGCATAAAATGCATTGTGAAAGGCAAGAAATCTTAAATACAATAACTTTGTTATTTTTCATCTCCGGTCCAAAAGTAGGATACCATTGAGTATATATCTGAACTGAGGGGACCGAGACAAGTTCACAGTCCTAAAATTCCACTGGGCGTAATCTATACAACATCCCAGAAGGTTTTCTAAACTCAGATTATACTGCCAAATTTATTATTATAGGAAATTAGTGTCTTGAAATTTTTTGAGCTCAAGACAGTTAGTATAGTATATAGTAATATAATGAATGATATTGCAAAAACAAAATTAAAATTTCTTGACAATAGAAAAATTATAAATTACTGTTTTGGAAAAATTTGTCTGAATTATGTGGAGGTTTAAGGTTTTTTTTTTATTTATATATATACACACACACACACACACAGTCTAAAATGCAATATATTAATATGAAATTAAAATGAATATAAATTATTTATTTTGCAAAAAATATAATTAAATAAAACATTTGTATATATATATACATCAATAACAAATGAGAATCATCTGATACTCATACTAAATATATCGGCGTTGTAAATTGTTAAGTCATTTCTCCGTTTCTTATCCTTGCTAACTTCGAATCCTTCCCAAAGTCTAACAGTTTCGTCTGCTGCAGCACTTGCCAGTGTGCTTCCTTCTGGAGAAATGGCCAGGCTTAATACTCTGTTTCTGTGACCTTTGAAAGAATTTTAAATCATTGTGATTTTATACCAAAAAGTAATTACTTATCTTATCAGAAAATCAGTATGCTCTTGTTATATTATACATGTAGGAAGATACTATCTGATACATCAGTTATACATTGCTCATTTGATTTATCTTTTCTTTATTGGCTAAAGTGCTTTTATATTTGGAAGAAAAAAAAAAGAGACTTGTATATCCAAACGAGCAATATAAAGATACAGTAGTCGTCCCTTGTTATAAATTTAAAATACTCAAAATGTTCACAGAACATTTCCATTTAGTTCAAGTTCAGACAAGAGTTCTCTCTTCCATAAAAAGCCACATTCAAAAAAATGCATTCACAAAAATGAACACATTCCTGACTGGAACTGTAAACATTCAATGTGAAACAATTCCTAATAATTCCAAGTCCAATTCCTAACATTTCAAGGTAGAATGATGAGGGACTGTTCAAGTTTTTACAACTTGGATATAATATAAACAACTTCATTTAATCCAATTTTCCTTGATTAAGATGTGTATAATCCCAAGGAAAGCAATACCATCATCTAAGATTAGATGATCATCTTTTATGAGATATATTATTATTTTGAAAACTTTATGACTTCTTCCAACTATTGCAATTCATAACTTTGCCATTATTTTTTTTTTATAGGCTTTAGATGAAATAGCAATCAAAATTAATATGTTAAATTTTCAAAAAGGGAGTTGATTTGTTTCTAGACATCGTTTAGGTGAATAAATGAATGTTTTTACTTACCTTGTGTTGATGCTATATTATTTATATCATCCCTCCACAATTGAAAATAAAGAATTTATAAGAGATGTAAACATAAGATATCAAATACAAAAAAGTTTGTATTTTTCAAATTAAATTACTAGACAAAAATTCAATATTTATACAAGTAGTCTTAATACTTTTTTGTAAACTATTAAGACTACTTGTATAAATAATGAAGAAAAATGTTTAGCTAACCTGATATCACTTAAATATGTTTTTGTATTGTTCCAGAGTTTAGGAAATTGAAGTTTCATAGAATATTAAAAAGATACCGAACAATACTTAAAAGGTGAATTTATAACAATAATATAGTACGTTGGGAAAAAAATTACCTTTCAGCTCAGTTAATTTTCTTAGATTTGGATATTTCCAGACTATTAAATTATTTGATGGCTCTCCATGAGCAGAAACAAGCTCATGATGATTCTCTATCCACAAAAGATCACAAATCTGAAAGATAACATTTTATTTTTTTTTATTATATTTTACTTTTTTTTTTTGTTAAATATTAGCCTAAAACATAGTATATTTTTACTTTAGCTTTTCCTAGCAGAACAGAAATAATGCTGAAANCCACTTTATTGCCTGAAAGAAATTTATTTTAAAATCAGCTGTATAGATAGTCATGGAGTTGGAGTCAAAAGCAATTCTTTGAGTACTGGAGTCAGTAAAAATGGACTGACTCAAACTCCTAATAAATTTTAAATTATAATATAAATAATTTATGTTAAATAATCTGTGAAATAAATTTTAACTAATGTATTTTTTCAGGTTATATTTTATATTCAAACAATTCTTTAATCTTGAAAAGTAAGAAAATTGATAGAGAAAAATTTATCCAATTTTCTTTTATAGTTTTGTTATATCCTTTATTATTTTATACTTTATGGCATTTTAAATAAAATACAAACTACAAACAATGAGGTTACAAAGTTTTGTCTTTTCTTAAAGCTTTAAGGTTATTGAATTTTACTATATTTATTAAATAAATAATAAACAAACTCAAACTTTAACAGATTATAGTTGTAAATAGTAGTCTGATGATTGACATTGATAGTGATGAAATGTTTTGCATATTCTGTGTTTTTGATCGATACAAAAATTATATAATTAGTAAATGATAAAGTTCGAAAAAAATTTACCATGATTGATGGTATTCGTTCTTTATGCAATCTATGAAAATTAGTATATTTATTAGTTGGTTCCTATATTGATATATAAATAAAGGAGTTGGAGTCAGAGTTGAAGCTTTTATTTACAGACTCTGCAGCCCCATTTAAATTATCATAAAACTGTTTTAATAGAGTAAATTGTAAATACCTTAACTGCAGATGAATGATCTGAAGTAGTATATGTTGGTATACTTTGATTAATTGAACTCCAAATATGAAGCTGATTATCATTTCCTCCACTAGCCAAATACTGTCCATTAGGTGACCATGTTAAACCACACACTTCTTTATCATGAGCAGAAAATGAATATATATATTGATTTGGAATTCTGACATCATGATGATGGATATAGCCAGTCTGTGATCCACTTAAATAATAATAAATTTCAGTTTCTGACTAATTGATGCAATTGTATTTTAATTGACTTTGTAACTTACCTACTTAAAATGTATGCATTCCAGGATAATGATGGAATTCTTCCAATATGACCTATCATAGTTCTTAATAGTCTTTCTCCAACTGTATCCCATAGCTGAAATATTAATTTTGTATTTTAACACATTAGTAACAAACTGATAAGTTTTATTCTACTAAAATATTCAATAATACTTATTTTAAAAGTATAGAAATAAGATTTTACATATCATGAAATTATTAGCCATAGCCTTAAATGAATGAAAAATCTTATTCTAAATGCTTTAAAAATAAATGAAAAATTTTATGAAAAGAACTCAAAATGTTCCAACACACTGAAGGTGAATAAAAACTTTAAAATTACATAATACAGTGGTACCTTGGTATATGTCTGCTTTAGAATATGTCCTGTTTGGACGAAACAAATTTTGCTTGGTATACGACTTTTGTTCGGTATACGACATAATTCAATTATACGCGCCATCAATGAACAAGTAGCACTGTCGGTGTCCTAGACCAGACTAGACATTTGCGGTGCAACGGTTTATAACTTTGTTAAATTTCTTCTGATTTTAATTCGTAAGTAAAATTTTATTATTTTTATTAATCACAAATCGCAATAAGGCAAATGAAAAGCGACAGAAAACTAAAAAAATGACTGGAATTACAATGGAACCGATAAAAGAGATTGTTGAGAAATACGAAGGCGGCACGCATGTTCGAGATTTTAACTGTTGCCTACCGTATTCCGAGAATGACGATATGGACAATCACGAAAAATAAAGACATTATTAAATCTGCAAACATTGCGAAAGGAGTTTAATCAATTTCTAAACAGAGATCGAAGACATTAGATCATGTCGAGAAATTGCTTTTGCTTTGGATAATTGAAAACAGTGCTGGAGACAGCGTATCGGAAGCAATTATTTGCGAGAAAGCTAAAAAGATACACGCTGATCTCACGAAAAATCAAGCAGGAACTAGCCAGGAAAGCGAGGTGTTTAAAGCCAGCCATTTTTTTTTTTTACACAAGAACGGATTAATCATTTTTACATTACTTCTTATGGGAAAGGTTGGTTTGGTATAAGTCCAAACATCGGGAACGGATTAAGGTCATATACCGAGGTTCCACTGTATTTGTGCTTTATTACAAGTAAAGAATGCTTAAACAAGCAGAAAAAGAAATTATCTATTTACTCTAAATAGAGATTATTATCAAAAATGTTTATATTTAAACAATTATAGCAAAACTATATTGAGAGAGTAATAATTCTTAAATTTTAACATACTTAAAAATTGTTTTACCTGAATAATACCACTACTGATTCCTACAGCAACAACATATCCATCTTCAATCCAAGCAACTGATGATATATAATCAAACCCATTTTCTACATGGAAAAGCATCCATGCTCTATCATCAATGTAATTCCATATATATAAAGTGTTATTCAGAGCAATTGCCAAATTTCCATTTGATGACCAGTCCATTAGCTTCAGATCTATAAATTTAAGTTCTTTTTCAAAAGTGCTTTACACTAAAATCTCAAAATTAAAATCTTAAATATACAGTCTCTCTTTGACTTATGGTGGGGTTACATTTTGTAAGTTGAAAATATTGCAAGTCAAAAATAAAAAAAAGATAGGCTATATACAAACTTTTATCTCTAAACCCTTTACCGGTGCACATATCATCTCACTCTATAACAATTACAAACGTTTTCGAACCATTATGGTTCTTCTTCAGGTAACAATCCCCTAACGGAATGCGGTTCAACGATGTTACGAAATACGATCCGAAACGATGTCCCGACCCGATGACGTCACTACGGACTTGTGCGTTATACATGGTGTGCTCTATCTTAGCCATTTATCTATTAGGGCCTGCCAGGCTGTCGATAGAGCAATTTCGTCCTTGTAGTTAATGCAATAATGTCCTTCACTCGTGTTTATGCATATGTATATCGCCTCCAGCCATCTGAGGTGGTTCGTGCGGTGGGTGGTGTGAATGACCTTTGCTTGCGAGAATAAGGGTTCTATGTCAGGGTCCAACGAGTATATCACAAGAGCTGTGTTGGTTCTTCCATGGTTGATATCTGCTTTATGCTCTTTGATCCGGGCTATTAGGGGGTGTTTAGTTGATCCTATGTAGATCATGTTTCTATCACACCTGTGATCAATGATAGGGATGGTGTAGATGCCGGGGAACTTATTTCAGTCTGGGATGTCTTTTCCGGTCCTTAACAAATCAAAAATCGTAGCGCATCTTTTAAATGTAATACGTATATTCTTTTTCTTAGCTATCTCCTTGTATATGGATTTAAGTACCGGATTGTATGTGATAGGGATACGAAATTGCTCTATCGATGGCCTGGCAGGCCCTAATAGATAAATTGCTAAGATACAGCACACCATGCATAACTCACAAGTCCGTAGTGACGTCATCGGGTTGGGGCATCGTTTCGGATCGTATTTCATAACATCATTGAAGCGCATTCCGTTAGGGGATTGTTACCTGAAGAAGAATCATAACAATTCAAAAACATTTGTAACTGTTATAGAATGAGATGATCCTCGCACTGGTAAAAGGTTTAGAGATACGAGTTTGTGTTACATTACTACGGTGCTGATATTCTAACATAGGCTATATGCAAGCTTATACAGTATATAATGTAAGTTTGGGCTATTGTTGATTGCAATAGCCTAAACTTACAAGTGATCACCATAACTGCTTTGCTTAGATATTATCTGAAATTTCTCATTGAGAATAATAGCCTTCCTCCTCCTCCTCACCAGTAGCAAGAGCCACTTTGCAGACATAATGGATATATTGTAAAACACAAGATGCAAGATGGTATATATAAGAAAGATCAAGGTAATTATTAATGCATATTACAGCAGCTTGAATTTAAATTCTAACCACATTCCTGCACTTTCACTTCACTCATATTGGCCATTGCATATTAGGAGTGTGAAATATTATATGGTGAAACACAAAAGACTAGGAGTGTCTGTACTAAAAAAACACACTGCATTTGTTGAACTTGTGTGTTTTTCTATGTTTAATAAAAAGATTCATCATACACTCATTAACAAAAAAGTTACACACTCAGAATTGCCAACTACTACAAAACTGCATACAGCTATCTGGACTATTCTGTGAGGTGGTATTGGAGGCATTGGATATGTAATGGCAGGCTTTGATGCCTCAGACACTTATGGTACAGGATCTGTCAGCATAAACAAATTTGCATTCATGGAGACTGCTGTGCATCCTGCCATTAACTCCCAACATTGCCAATTTCAGTTGCAGTGTTACAGGCAGCAATGGACTGGCAGTATTTTGCCTTCAGCTACAAATCTTGGTTACGTTTGGAAATGAACAACTGCTGTGTTAGTGTGGAGGATCACTGGTGTTCACAATCTTGCGTTTACTGTTCAGCAGCACACTGCCCCCCTCCAATTGCTGGTGTACTGGTCTAAGGAGACATCTTATATGACATCTTTAGTAGTGATAGGAGTGTTGGAAGTACGAGGGGTGTTCAAAAAGTATTGGACCTTTATTTTTCCTGCGTAAACCAATGATGCGCGGGAGGCCTCTTTCAGTGGAGATGTGGAGGGGACAGTCATATGCAGTCCTGAATTTTTTCCCACCTGCAGGAAGCATCAGTCGTTGGCAGTCGGCCTATGAATGAGGCGGGACCTTGAATTGTACTTTTGATACTGCTGTATCTGTCTTGTAACTTTTTGTTTTGTTTTAATAAATGCCGATGAGAGGCACTCTCTGGGTCCCATGCCTTCTTTCAAACTTTCCTATCTTCCTTTCTTTTCACACTTCACATCTCATGCTTTCTCTTCTTTCCTACTTCTACAGGGTTAAGTCCGTCGCTTAAAAGACGGACAGCTCTCTTCTATCCTTTTAAACATGGGCCTATGAATGAGGACGTGTAGTGAGCACTCGTCAGATTCCAGTAAGTTGGAAAATGACTAACAACATGAGCAGCGATATTGCATCAAATTTTGCCAAAAGCATGGCGATACCCAAGTGGAAACCATTTGCAAGATTCAACAGGCTTTCGGGGAAGATGACATGAGCAACACACGGATAAAGGAATGGTACAACCACTTCAAAGATAGCTGCACATCAGTGGACAGCAAACTGCATTCAGGCAGACCCTGAACAAGCTGAAATGAGACTGTCATTGAGGAAGTGCAGACTTTGGTCATGGTGGACCGTCATATCATAGTCAGAGACCTTGCGAACAAGACAGGAGTAAGCACTGGATCAGTGCATTCAATTTTGACCGAGGATTTGGGTATGAAGAGTGTGTTCATGAAATTCATGTCCGCTGTTTCAGACTTTCGTCGCCAAACACAACATTCCTGTGGTTTGTCACGCTCTGTACTCTCTCGACATGGCTCCGTGTGATGTTTGGCTATTTCCCAAGCTGAAAATGCCACTAAAAAGGAACCCGATTTGAGTCAAGAGAAGACATCATGCGGAATGCGACAGATTGGCTGATGGCCATTCGAAAAGATGCATTCCAGCAGTGTTTCCAGCAATGGCAGGAGCGCTGGGAGAAGTGTATACATTACCAAGGAGACTACTTTGAAGGGGATTAGGGTTTTGTACTTCAAAATCAATGAATGTATTTTTGTCAACCAAAGGTTTGATACTTTTTGAATACCCCTCTTACTTATTAATTATTTAAGAGGCGGCCGAATGACCGAGCGGTCAAGGTGGCAACCTACTGCTCTGGGAGACCCAGGTTCAAATCTGAACAGGTTGAAAATCCCCAGGAATTTTTTGGGGTGGTCTGTTCTGATATGTCTGGTCCCATCCCTCACCATCCGGCAGCCCCATTGTGGGCCTGCAAAAAGAGGCCCTCTTAGTGCCCACAGGGTGGAAAAGAGTTAAAAAAAATTATTTAAGAAATTATTAAGCATGTGCTTGATAGCAATATTGCTCATTTTGGTGTGATGTCATTTCTTTGTGTTACTTTTATCTTGTAACTTTTGTAAAAGAAAGAAGTAAAAACTCATTAAAGTGTTTAGTTGATAACTAAAAAAATTAAGTCTATTATAATTAAAATTCTGTCTATTAATGAGGACTTTGATGATACAGTGATATGTTCAGGAAATTCTGTGCCCTCAGTTTTGCCTTTCATGATAGGAAAATATTACAAATTCAAGACTAAATACAAATAAAAATTTGATATCCACACTTTCTTTACAACCACAGGAGCACAATTAACATAGATAGAGTTGACCTTTTCTTTGAGGCTCCTCTTTGCTTAAAAACATCTAAATTTATTAAAAGTCTCTCTGGTATCAGATTCTTGTAAAAATATTCCTGTGGTTGTGAAGACAAATTTTTATTTGTATTTAGTCTTCAATTTGCAATATTATAAAAAATCCAGGATGAAATATATTTAAAATTTAATTTTTCGTAAAATCCTCTCTTCAAAATAAGCTAACACAAACAATTCTATTTTTAATTTTAAATGAACTCAATCACTTCTTCGTTATTTAAAGTTAAAATAAAACAACTGCTGTTTTAAATTTTGACAAGTTTGAATGGAAAACTTGTAAAAATTTAAATGCTAAAACAATTTGTGAAATGTTTAGTTGGTTATAGCTACATTAATTTTAATATGGTCTTAGTTGCCAAATTAATTTGAATTAGACAAAAGAACATTTACATAAAAAAATGCATTAAAATATTTTGAAAGGGAAGATATATATTAATAATAATAAAACTATTAGAAATTAATTACTAAAAAATTTTTTCATAAAAATGTCTGATTTATCTTTTTTAAAGATTTTTATTAATTCCTCAAATGATTAATTACTGTTATAATAAAATGGGAAATCCATAGTTTCATATAAAACCAAACGCAATAAGCATTATTAATCAAATAGTACAGTTGGATTTTTACTGAACTACAATATGTTTAATTAATTAATAAGATAGCAAGCAATTTGGACTAAAGATAAACAGTTAAGTTGCTATAATTATGTTAAATTTAATAATTATAAATTATTTAAAATATTGTGGAAGAAAAGATTGGCCTGGAATGGACACTGCACCTGAACCCACAACTCCTGCGTTATTAGTTATGCTACCCAGATCTCCATCCGATCTTCATTTCTAGACTAATTTTAAATATACTTTTAGATCAGACAGTGGTTCAGATAGCATAATTCATAATATTCTAAATTATCTTTAATTTATTTCTAATTATTAAATTTAACAAGAGATAATGGTTTAACTATCTATACTTATCTCTAGTTCAAATTGATTGCTCAATCTTATTAATTAGCCATATGTAGTCTGATAAGAATCTAGTTGTATCATCTAATTAGTAAATCCATATTTAATTTAAAGATCACAAATGGTATTAAACTAATGCGTATTTTCACTTTTAATTTGTGATTGATGGTATACAATAGATAAATTTATGAAATTGAAAAGATCTATGCATTCAAATCAATTTTTAAATATTTAATAAAATAAGGCCTACTTTTTAAATTTTTATCTAAAATAACTTACAATAATCATCCAATAAATCTGGTGCATCTAATATTCTTTCGGGAACAGTTGGTATGTAACGTTTTGGTTTTGATCTCAATTGCAAAATTTCTTCATAATATTTTTGCCTTTTTATTAGTTTATCTATAAAATAAAGTGATCATTATATTTAGTTTATTAATTATTAATTTAAATATGTATTAAAGATTAGTAAATTTAAAAATTAATAAGAAGTTAAACTTACTAAACAATCTGTATGAAAAGACTTAAAAAAATTGTTGGATGTCAAGAAAATATATTTAATTCAACAAATTGTAGATAAATTGAATTTAATAGCAAATCAATTAAACAATTTTTTAATTTAAATAATTTTGACAATAATTTGCAAACAGCTGTCCTGTTTACAAATTACATAATGAACCTTAAAATATGGCATGTTAATTAGATATTATAACCCCTTATTTAAGTTTGATGTTTTAATTAGTAATAACTAAAAAGATATGTCAAAGATAGCAATATTGGAAAAGAAACCATTTCATATGCTATAATATGAATACTCCAATCATCATCAAAATCTGCTGGACTGAGTTAGTTCAGAGGTTCAGACTCAGGATATTTATTTGAATATTTGTAGTTTTAAGAGCATTTGACAATTGAATTTAATATCTTTTCTAATAGTATAATAAATTAATAATTCAGATTATTATAAAATTATCAGTACTTATGAAAAAGTTTCACTTATGGATAATGCATGTTAGTAGTAGGGTCACAAGTTCTATACAAGATTATGGAGAAGAGAACATATAAATATTAAAAATGTTAACTGTAAATTTCCTAATTTCTCAAAAATTCTATGCAAATAAAAATGAATAAGGGAAAGAAAAAATTGTATTTCCATGATATTCTATAGTATTAATATCAGAAATCTTAGCATACATTTTATTAGATATAGGCTACTGTAGATTTTCAAAAATTTGAATCTTATAAATTTATTATTCATATGAATTATAAAGAAATCCATAGTATAGTTCTACTGTTTACATTACATAATAGCTAAAGAAACCAAGAATCAAAAATATTACAGTAATATTTAGATGAAACCGCAAAAATTTAATTTTATTCTTTTTCATATTATACAACTTTCTTTGGAGCATATGAGGATATTTAGATCCTCATATGAGCATATGAGGATCTAAAGATATCGTGGCTGTCAGCCATAGTATTATATTTTTATTTTTTTATTATTATTTAACAATCTTTCCTTCCCTTTGTTTCATTCTCCTTCTGAGAATTTTGTTATCAACCCTTCTTCGCCCTGGGATAGGATTAGGTATTCCTCGAATTCTGGAGAACAAAGGAATAGGTGAGATCTGGCGACGAGACCAATAATGGTCATAGGGACATTCTGGGTGAAGATCCTGAAGAAAGCAGAAGGAAAAAAAGTGCACGCTCATGATCTGAAGTTAAGGTGAAGGAGCTGCAAGAAAGAGGAATAAAGAAGAGAGACAATTTCAGAAAAAACTGTAAGGACAACGAATAATCCAACGAAAAAGTAGAATTTTTTGATAGCGAGAAGTAGCCTTATAGATTTTAGAGCAAAAGATAGCAAGTTGGCACCATAACCCAAAAGTGTATATACATACCAAAAGAAATCCCAGATATTTCCATTCTCCTTAAATTTTATTTCCATATCCATCTGTCCTATACCATTATTTTTCCTTAGTTATAAGACAGACATAAGTTAGTTATAAATTAGTTTTTTGTTAATTTGATGATTGTCATGCGTATGAACCCCAGTTATTGTGGAGGACAAGCCTGTTTTTTTTTTTTGTGCATAGAAGAAAGGCATAAAGTTTGTAAAGTTGGGATTCTGATAAAAAGGAAAAGAACTAGTTCAGAGAGAATAAAGAATACTGTGTGATATAATTAAATTTTGTATCTTTCTTTTTGTAACTTTTCGTTTGCGGATTTGTATACATCTCTCACAACGAACAACCACAATATTTTCTTTAATCTTTTCATTGAGTAGATATGTATAAATCATTGTGTAAATCACATGATTTACACAATGATTTATACCTAATAACCAATATCTAAATGCAATTTCCAGCAAACAACAAAAAATTTACTGCTCAAACGATTTCGACCATCATTATTAAAAATACAATCTTTTTAAATTTATTTCAGGCAGTTAGTCTTACATAAAATATAAAACTTTTTCAACGTCTTTTTAGAGCAGATTAATTTCAGGTCTCTTTTTCTTTAATACTCAAACCCTAATGTGACTGCCAATATTGATATTATAACTTTCTAATCTAGGTCAGCATTTTTCAAAGTGGGCGATAATGCCCTCGTGGACACTGGAGTCTTTCAAGGGGGTAGTAGAAGGCTCAGTGATTAAATATGAGTTTTATTTCTTCTCATTGAAACATTCTTTGATCTCAGAAATAGGATATGGGTCACACCCTATCTATCCTATCCATATAATAATGCATATTTAAACATTATATTTGCAATAACTGTTTTTAAGATACGCAACAGATGATAATGTAAAAAATTAAGTTAAAAATATGGTGACACTAGTTTTTCTTTAATCTCGAAGTGGGCAGTGGTCGAAATAAGTTTAAGAACCTGTGATCAATGTTATCAATATCAAAATTTTGAATTAAATCTTTAATAGTGTGTTAGAGCCAGAAAAATAAAATGTTTTTACCAATTTTGTGAAGATATAAGAAAAAAATCAGTAAGGTTGTGGAAAGGTATTAGGTGATTGCAGAAATTGCAGACAATATGGAAAATACACAGATAAAAATTTTCACTTTGTCTTCCATATACATTATAAGTTTAGAAATTTCTTTACTGATTCTGGTAGATATTTCATTGAGACAAAGTTTCCATAAACAAAAATGTTTAAATATTGTAAATAAATTAAAGAAATATTAATTAATGTAAAATAAAATTAATATGGGATTATGTAATTATTCATATTTATTATTAAGAAGTGTTAAGAACTAAATGTTTGTTAAGTCAAAGAAAAATGTAATTTGCTAAAACAGCTCTTTTTGTAATTATGAAAAAAAAATCAGACTAGTAAGGACAATTTTTATAATTACAATGGCTTTTTTTTATACATGTATGTAACGTTTACATAAAAGTAATGATTTTGACTATTATAAAGTAAATAAAAAGGTCTTTTAAGTTAGGATATATATTTGCAATTCCAACATTTAAACTTGGATTTTACTTCTACAATTTAGTGTTACTATTTATAAATTTTGTAAACTTTAATCATAAAAATCTATCAATGAGAGTTTCATAACATTCCTGACTGTTATGAGTTTTATTAAAAAAACATACTGTATTATTACGCAAAAATTAAAATTGTGTGTGGAGCCATCTGTTATCAGATATTGTTATAAAAACTTATTTTTAATTACTATAAAATGGCAAAAAACTTAATTTTGAGTGTAGGGATGAGTTTTACTGTTGAGTTTTATTTAAAAAAAAAAGTGTAAATGTTAATAATAAGTAAAATCATCATTAAGTCTGACCCTATTGGAGCTATATAGTCACGACCCCCTCACTCTTTAACACCAAAATTTAATAGCATCAATGTTTCTCATATACAAACCACCATTCCATATTTCATTACTTAATCTTTACTAGTGTTGCCACCAGGCCGATTTTCACCTGGACAAGCCGGTTTTTAAATTCATGGTCCGGATTAATTATTAATAATTATATAATGGGAGTTTTTTATCAAAATTAATTTATCATTCTAAAGTTGTAGTGCACCGATTTTCCTTCGGTAAAGTTATTTAAAGCTGCTTTCTGATGTCAAAAACGACTTCCGATAGTTTTTTAATTTTTTTAATTAATAGATTTTATTATATAGAAGTTTAATTAATTAGGGGGGGTCGGAAATCGCAATAAAAATTATAATTTTTTAAAAATATTTAAAAATATACCGCCAGATTGAAGTCACCCTACTTTAAACCCTTGTCCTCCCGCGATGTCTGAGAATGTCCCGGGAAATCCGACTCCAGCTGTGTTCAAGGTCATCCAGATGTGTAAACAATAACTCATCGGTGTTAAATTTTACAGAAAGGCGAGACAAAGAAAACTAAATGATGAAGCTTTTTAACCAAAATTAACGCATTTTTTTCGTTTTTTTTCAGTTTTAAGTATTTTTTATGCTTAATTAAAATTTTTTTTTTAAATGGACAAAAAGGGGGACATATTTTTTATATAAATTTTTTAAATGGACATATGTCCAGTTTTTGTAGAAATTGAGAAATTATAAAAAATATGGTAAACAAAATAAATTTATAAAAATATTTGCGAATATTTTATTTTAACGGTTAAAGACTAACTTCACACCCTTACCCAAACTTATCCCTAGGCTAAGAGTGACAGAAAATGTACTTTTAAAATTCTAACTTGTAAATATCTCTGGCAAATATTAGGTTTGTTCCAACACCAGTCCCTAACTAATTTAAAACTGGCATGTGCATTGTGCAGTTCTTGGCTGTAAAATGACATTGTGCATGCCTTGTGCGATTTCAAATTCAAATCGTCAAGGACTTGTGTTGGAACAAACCTATTCTAAATCAAATGTGACAGTTTCAGTTTATAATTTCTATTTTAATTATTTAATATAACAACTCAAGAAATTGAAAATCCAAAAAAGAGGAGGAAGTGAACTTGTAAATTTAATAAAGATTGGCTGACACAAAACAAATTTCAAAAATGGTTACGACCTATTCGAGAATCTGATGAAATGGCTAGGTGTTGTGTTTGCAATACTACATTTAATGTAAAGTGGAATGGTGTAAAAGCTGTAAAATCTCATATGAAAGCAAATACTCAAAGCAAAGAGTATGTTTATTTGCTTATAACTTCAATCTGACCCAATTTTTTCAACATAAAAGTTCTAAAATTAATGATCAGATAACAGCAGCAGAATTGACACAGGTTTATCATGGTGTAAAGTCACAGTTATTGCTAACTTTATTTCCACATAGAATGTGGAAGTACAGTTATCAATTCTATAGTTCCTGACTCAGTGGTTTGTAAAAATATAAGACTTGGGCATACAAAAATTGAATCTATTGTGCAAAACGTATTAGCTCCCTATGCTCTTGAATTAATTATATCTGTTGCAAAGCATTTACCATTTATTGTTGCCACAGATGCTTCTAATAAAGGTAATAAAAAATTTTAAAATGTCTGCGTCAGCAATTTATAAAAGAGGGCAACACTGATCTTTACCCTATCCTGAGATATTAAATGAAATGCACACACAGACAGATACATATGGAATTTTTTGCCATTTGTTTTTTACTTTTTTTGGATTCAAGTGGTCTCAAGATGTGGAGGTTTACAAAAAACACTCAGAGGGTCAAATTTGACACAATTCCATTATTTTTCCTTTTTATGTGTACATAACAGCTGGGAAAGTAAAAGGAACAACTCACTCAAATTGAAATTAGCTGATTAGATTTTTTACTCATTCTTACAATATTTTGAAAAGTGCCTAAGATGGCATCAAGGCAAGTGTGGAATGTCCCCACTAATTTATGGAATTTTCTAGATTATAATTCTAGATTTATGGCATTCTCTGTCTTTTCCTAAGCAGTTCATCTTAGTGCACTTGATGCAAAGTGGTGGTGATAAAAATTCAAGTAATTATATGCTTGAGAAGAAATTTTATTCTAAAAAAGTTTGCAGGTGTATCTGAAGGAAAAAATTAATTATACTACCTTTTATCGTTGATTTTCCACTGAATGATAGAACAGAATAATTCTTCAATGTCTTTCCTGATAATAGTGTGGTTTCTAAAAGTTTTTGATATTCTGTTTGGTCAACATTTGTAACTTCTTTTCCATTCACTGTGATTTTATAATGACCAATCTCTGTATTTGTTGTTGTTCTATTTGGTATGAATCTAAAAATAAATATATACATATATATTATGCACATTTATTGATTTTTAAATATAGTTAGCTAGGAAACTTGCTATGAAATTTAATAAATTAAATTTGACATGAAATGACAGTACCTATCAAAATGTTTAGCTGGTGTTGATGTTCTTCTTGTAATATGCTTATTACGTTTCAATTTTGATCTTTCAGAATTTTGTAACAAATTAAAGCTGTTATCAAAGTCACTGGTAAGATATCCAGATAAGTCAGAATTGTTCATAACATCAGAAGATAACTCTACACTCACAGGTGTTAGGGGAGTATTTGTTTGAGGTTTATGATTGCTTCCTTCTAAGATATAAAAATTTACATTTAAAAATCAATTATAGGAACATTTTATTAATGAATATTGATTCATTAGAGAGGTTGCGGCCGAAGTTTTCAACGCGAAAACGTGAACATCGAACATTCAGCACTGTCTTCCTGTAAGCCTAGAAGTTTGACAATGGTGTTTGGAACATCAAGCATGATTCCACTGACTATCTAAACACCATTGTCAAACTTCTAGGCTTACAGGAAAGCAGTGCCGAACGTCCGACATACACGTTTTCGCATTTAAAACTTCAGCTGTAACCTTGCTATTAATAAAATTCACTGTGTGTCATATGCAAAAGGAACATTTAGACAAAGTTGAGTTAAAATAAACATTATTTTGTTATAATACACAAGTTATTGCAACTATATTGAATCAATCAATTACAGTATGACATACAGGATAGTCATAATATATACACACTGCATTATCAATATAGAATATTGAGTCAATTTATATATACAGTGGTATGTTCCAAAAGTTGCAATACATAGGAAAATTGGATTAGGTTCATGGATTGATTATTGTGGTCCCATGGAGTGGTCTGAGGTCCTCAGATTTTAATCCTTTGATTTTTATTTAGTAAGTTCACTGGAAGGCTTTGGCATACCAGGAATAAAAGATGGATTATCTAAAAGATTGCATTCAAAGTTAAATTAGAAACAAAATCTGATATGTTAACAGAAGTTCACTTTGAATGAGAGAGATACATCATACATGTTTAGAAAGATAGTCACATTATCTCTAACGTGTTGACCTTAATTGTAAAATTTTCTAATAAGTGTTAAATTTTCCTATGTACTGTGACTTTTGTGACATCCTGTACATTGAAATACTTATTGTGGCTGGACATTTCAAACAAATTAAGATTGTTGAAAAAAAAAATGGCAAACCATTAAACAACTAAGAATTATCAGTTTTACAAAGATTTTTTATTCCTGGAAATAAATCAAATTATGAGGGCTATTTTTTAAATAAGGTTTGTTTTTTAATAAGAAAAATACTGTAAATATCGTTAAAATATATTTTTCCTATATTCTACATACTTTTATCTACTTTTCTACATAATTTCCATTTTTGTTCAAACTTTTGTCATACCGCTCAAAAAATTTTTTAATTCAGACTTCAAAGAAATCTGCCGCCGGAACACATTAGGCTACGCCGCTTGTCTTGTATAGCATGGTGGAGTTTTCTGAAGGTTACAATAAGCATCAGAATTGATTGTTGTGCCTCTTGGCATAAAATCCACTAACAAAGTCCCTTTCCTGTCCCAAAAGACAGTTGCCATGATCTTTCGTGCTGAAATTGAATAACAGATCATATCTTACAGTCGGCGGGCGACTCAATTTACTTAAACATTATAAACTTCTACAGTTCAACACACAGACAGACGATACGGCTGCAAATGGCATCTAAACATGCGCAAAGCATGCTGAAAGCAGATGCTCATGCACACTGCTGCAATCGTGCGTCATTCTCACTCACAAACGGACCTTATTTAAAAAATAGCCCTCGTATAAGCTCAATGTTAGATGCTGCTGACTTATATAGAAGATGATCAAATTAATAATTGATGAATGTAGATGTTCAGAGCTCTCTGTAGAAAGAACTATTGGGAAATTTCAGTCAAATTTAGAATGTATAATGTCCTGAATATGCTTTCATTTTCAGGAAAGTTTCACTCCAATATTCAGCCATTAAAGTGAAATTTGGAACTGCTGTCCCTTTACTGTGCATGTAATGTATGTTTTCTAACAAATGTTAGGATTTAAGAAACAAAGTGCAGTAATTTTATTTCAAATACAGATGTGGAATGTGGAATTGATAATTATGTCATACATAGATAAGGTGCTATGTGCCCTCCATTTCTGTGCTCTAAAAACTGCATTTGCTTCATAATGCACTGACCTACATGCAGTGTTGCCACCTTTTCAAATTAGGATGTTATATTTAGAAAAAAAAAAAACAGGGTTTTTTTGTGAGTAGAATTTGTTTTGTGTCAGCCAATCTTTATTAAATTTACAAGTTTGCTTCCTCTTTTTTTGGGTTTTTAATTTTTTGAGTTGTCATATTACATAATTAAATAATTAAAATCGAAATTATAAATTGAAACTGTGACATTTGCTTTACAATAGGTTTGTTTCAACACAAGTCCCTGACTGGTTTGAATTTGAAACTGTACGAGACATGCACAATGTCTTTTTACAGCCAAAAACTGAACAATGCGCATGACAGTTTTAAAATAGTTAGGGACTGGTGTTGGAACAAACCTAATATTTGCCAGAGATATTAGATAGGTTGAGGCGCACGTTTTAAACGTGTAAACGTGTACATGTGACGTTAGGCGCCGCTTTCCCGTAAGCCTAAAAGTTTGACAATGGTGTTTGGATAGTTGGTGGAATTATGCTCGACATTCCAAACACCATCGTCAAACTTTTAGGCTTACGGGAAAGCGGCGCCGAACGTCATACGTACACGTTTAAAACGTGCGCCTCAACCTCTCTATTTACAAGTTAGAATCTTAAAAGTACATTTCCTATCACTCTTAGCCTGGGGATAAGTTTGGGTAAGGGTGTGAAGTTAGTCTTTAACCGCTAAAATAAAATACTCGCAAATATTTTCATAAATTTATTTTGTTTCATCATAACTTCACAATTTGTATGAAAACCGGACAAATTAATAATTAATCTGGACCTTGAATTTAAAAACTGGCTTGTCCGGGTTATACTGGCCTGATGGTAACACTACCTACATGAAATTATCACATAAAATTGTCTTTTAAGATAGCTAGATTGAAAACATTGCCTTGATAAATGAGACTAACTAGTCTCATAACCAAAAGTCACAAGGGTTAAGATCTGTAATCATGTTAGTCACGATGTTGGAGATGATCAGCTAATCACTCATCTGAAAAATGTTAAGGTAAGGCTAGCAAATTTAAGCTGATATATAGAGGTGCCTCATCTTGACTAAAGATTATGGATTCTGACAATTTTTCTGCTGCAGTGCTGGGATGACAAATTTTTGGAGAATATCTCCATATCTAGTAGCATTAATATATGTTGCTGGCCCAGATGGAGAGTTTTCCTATTAAAAAAAATAAGTAGTACAAATGATAAAAATGCTATGAAACATCACCACAACATTATCTTTGGTGAGTGCAATGGAATTTGTTGGTGATCATGTGAATTTTTGTTGGATCAAATATAGAAGTATGAGTGTTCACATCATCATACAAATGAAAATGAACATACTGTACTGTAATTACTCAACAGAATTCACAGGAACTTGCATCATCATCCATCATTCAAAGTAGACATTTTCATGGAAAATATTTTCTGCTTTACCATTACCACTAGAAACAATTGTTAACTGTAGAATATCTTGTATGATAAAAAAGCAAGAATTTTTGCAAAACTTTCCACACTGTCATTTAGAGCAAGTCTAATTGCCTTGATCCACTACTGTTGCTATGAGAAATTTCCATTTCATTTCCATTACTGCAGTAATAATATCTTTCATTTTCAGATGTCTAATCAGTTTACAACACTGTTCAGTTTTACAGTGAATATTTATCTCCTCAAAATGCAAAATCATTTTTCTATAATTCTCAATAGTCAGAAGACCTCTTCATAAATCTTTCAAGTGCCAAGCTGGCATTGCTGTTTCATTGATAGAAGAGTTAACAAGTAATGAAATATTAGGCAAAGTGAGCACCATGACTGTTCACCTATTGAAGAATTGTGAAGAATGCTTTGTGACATCTTTTATATCCAAAATGCATTAGAAAACATATTACATATGTACCAGTATGTTAAGAGAATAACAATGTTAAATTTTGCCTGGTAACTTAATTTTGAAGTAAACTTTCTCTAAAAATTAAAACCACATATTCAAGACAGTGTACACCAAATTTGGTGGAGGTTTGACCAATAGTTTTTCCTACAGAGAACTCTGAACACTACTCTTTAAGTATGATTACCCTGTGTTTTGTTAACAATTTATTACTTTTTATAATTATTAAAATTATAAAAAGAAATAACCTTAATCTTTTTTGAACACAATTTCTATACTGTTAATTTGTACACAAGTTTTTATGTACAAATTAAGATAAGTCAGCAGAATTAATTTTTAATTCAGCACTTCTTGAGCTTTTTTCTCTTTCTTCTTCAGCTTTAGAAGCTGATGACAAACTGTCTTGAGCTTCTAAAATTACTAAATCCCTTATGTTTTTACATATAAAGTTACTATTTTTTAATTATATTTAAAATCAGTTAACATCTTAATTTTCAATTACTATAATATTAAAATTATCTAAATTATCTTTTTAATCATTACATAATTACATTACCTTCTGGCACAGCAAGATTAATTTTTATGTTTTGTTCCTCAGTTTTCTTTTTGTATTTAGACTCCATTTCAGAATTCTCATTTTGTTCACTTGAAAGTCGAAATTCAGACAATGGCATTAGCATTTTTTCTAATGTGACTATATTAAATAAAGCAAAAATAATACTTCAGTTCAGTAGCTTATAAAACAATATATTATATATATGTATACATTCATATATACAGTATTTTAATATGTATTGATATATTTTTACAAATGATGTCATTTATTGTAAATTGCAGATATTATTCTCAGTTGTCTATTATTGGGCTGCAATTTGAAAAAACTGTAGATGTATAAATTACCACTGTCATCTGTCCATCTGCTGTCTATCTTTCCTTAATATTGAGAATGGTGTTAGATAAAAAGACACATTTTCATGAAAAATAACTGCTACTTATTTGCTATTAGCATTCAAATATCATTGGCTTTGTTTACAATGGTTCCTTAACAGAGAAGCATAGACTGCTATAAATTTGTCCACACATTAACTATTTGGGAACAGATGACCACTGTTCCCAAACAGTTAATGTGTGGACCACTGGTGAGTGCTTCAATCCATCTTTGCTGTTGAGCAGCACATTGTTGGTCTCCAGATTTGTTGCCCATCAAGCATTTGTGGGACCAGATGGGATGCCAACATTGGTCTACAAGCATGGGCGTAGCCAGAGTTTTGTTATGGGGGGGCCTAGTAGAGGCCAACCTGACAAAATTGAATTATTTCAAATTATTGTTCATTAAAAAGAAAATTCCATGATAATCGACGATAACTTAACACACATGAAATATGTAACTTCCTTTAATCATAACATTGGGCACAGGGAGCCGTTGACCTTTTTTTTTCTAGTATTCAAAATTTTTAGCGCCAAGTTTTTTTTTCTTTTGCAAATCGGCTCGACACTTTTTTGGCTGTGATTTTCTGGGGGGCACCAGGTCCACTGGAGGGGGCCGTGCCCACCCAGGCTCCCCCCTCGCTACATCCATGTCTACAAGTGTGAGAGATTGGCAGCAGTTGCAACATCTGTGGACAAATCTGTTGTAGGATAGCATATAGTGCCTATATGCTTCCATGTCTGACTGTATTGCCATACATATAAAGGCAAGAGAGAATCCTACAAGGTACTAGACATTTCTTTAAATTGTATCATTGTTTGACAGGAAATTGTTTCTTTGCTATATCATAATCAACTATTATCATTGCCATTATGTTTACACTAATAGTTTGATTTGATTGCAATGCAGCCTTCTTGGTGTGATGCATAATTTTTTTGACAATGAGTGCATATGTGCATATCATATATATATATATGCACATATGCACTCATTGTCATACAGGTGTGTGTGTGTGTGTGTATATATATACACGCACACACACACACCTGTAAGTTTTGCATAACTATTATTATGTATAAATTAAATAAGCAGTAAATTATTATTACTAGTAAATTCAATTACCAAATTAATTACATAATATTTTTCAGTGAGAACCATTATCTGTAATTGCTTAAACAAACCAAATATTTAAAAATAAAAGAAATTGAAATAAATAATGGCAATTTTGAATCTTTCAAATTCATCTCCAGAGATGCTAATGAAAATAAATTTGACCGAATGCAGTTTGCAATGGAGACTAGAAATCAGATGAATTTTTTTTTATAGTTACAAGCAGGGCTGTGGAGTTGGAGTCAGGAGGAATTTCTGGCCAGAGGAGTCTGAGTTGGGGGAAAAATGTGTCAACTCCGACATTTTAAATTTACTTTAGTTTTTTTTATTTAAATAAAAGAAAATTTATTAATTTAAGAAAGAAATTATATATTTATTAATTTTTTAAAATCTTTTTGTATTTTGTTATAATTCATTCATTTTAAATACAAAATGCATCAATTTAATTTATTAAATATTAGTGTTCTTTGTAGTACAGTAGTCTCGAAAACTCGGCACTCGATAACTCGGCAACGCCCTGGCAGGGCAAAAAAACCTCTAGTTAATTTTCATTATAGACAGTTTTATGCCTCAAAGTATTTTTCTGAGGTCTGTCTTATCAGGTAAATTACTGTACACAGTGTATGCATTAATTTTCATTTTCATGTAGTAAAGGCTCTATGCCTTCATAAAGTACATACTTTTCCTTTGTTTAAGGGTATTTGGGCAGTTTATTCTCCGTTGTATTCTCAAGCAAACAATACATACAAGTACAGTACAGTATTTTCTGAGGAAATACTGTACTGTATTCGTACTTATTCTTTTTAAACCCCATTCCCGATAACCCGGCATTTTCACAAACTCGGCCACCCTTCGGTCCACATTAGGCCGAGTTTTCGAGACTACTATATCTGTGTTTAGTAGTTAAATTATTTTGACCCAATTGAATTTAAATATTTTTGAATCATTCCTTTATTATCCCTGCTCTAAATAAGTACTCTATTTTTCTGAATGAGTCAGACTAATTGATCAGAGTACATATTTTTTTTTTTCTGAACAAGGAGCTGAAGTAGCTAGATTGAACACTTTTTAGTTGGACTAACTCTTCTGGAAGGGTGAAATTGAAGTGCAAATGCTGTCGAATATATGTAGATGTAGAATTTTATCGCCCCCTTTCTCCTCTTATTAAATATTTGTTAAAAATTAAATTTTTTATAGAAATAAATATTAATATAAGTTAAATATTAAAAATACTAACTATAAAAGCATTTGGGTAAATGCCCCAGGCTCCTTTCAGAGTAGGGTATCGTCCTATGAGTGCCTCTGTCCCCCATAAAATGACTGTATTTAATTTTGTTGGAGTCGTCCTACTAAAATTATCAGGAGTCAGAGTCAAGTGTTTTTTTTTTACCAACTCCACAGCCCTGGTTACAAGGTTAAAATGTTGCACAATATTGTGAAAAATATTATTTTGTTTAATACATATTAAAATATAATATACAATACATTAATAAAGGTAACACACATTTTTAGATCACAAGTTGGAATAAGAATCAATAAAGAGTGAAACCTTATTAGGAAATGTTTTGAGAGAGTACAGTGAGCCATTTCCAAAATGTAGTACTGTTCAGCATACTATTTTTAATTAACTAGATTTGTTTATATTTTCTGAATTTATTATCTCTTTGTACTTATTTCTTATTTAGCATTTTATGCTAGAATGAAGAAAGTAAAGTAACTAGAATAAAAAACCAAAGTAATACCAGTAATGAAGAATCAGGTTTTTTTAATTGATGATGAATAACAACTTGCTATCAGCAAAATAGAAGTAAGTGTATTTGGAAGGATTACTTTTGAAAAACTATTAAATGAAGACCTAGATGAGAAAAAGATATGTGTATATCAAATGAAATGAGTTAAATTTCACTGTTCTAAAGGCTGTGGAATGACATTGTTAGAGTGGATGATCTGATTTTCTGAAAAATTAATAATAATAATCAGGAAGAAAAACTCAAAAAAAAAACACATGTCCTGTTAGTATTTTTTTGGATGTAAGTTTTTATCAAAATTAAAATTCCATAAAGAATGTTTTCCTTATAGCGTATATGTGGACTGCTTTAGTCTCAAAAAAATATTCCTTAACAATAGTTACTGCGTAGGCTTATTTTATTCAGTCGACATAGATTAAATTTTTCAGATCATCATTGAGAAAAATAAAGAGAGATCAAATAAGAAGCTAAGCCATATGAAAAAACTGAAAACAAAATAAAGAAAAGAGAACAACAACAGAGAATAGTGTTTTGTCAAATAAAAATGAGTAAATATACACTTTGTAAAACAATATTTGAAGTAAAGAAGAGCAAGAGATCAAGAGGAAGACATTAAAAAAAAAAAAAAAAAAACTAGAAGATAGAAGATAAAATTACAAGAACTTGGAGCAAAGTGTAAGAGTGTCAGATTTGAAAGAAGAAATGGAGATGTTAGTTTTAGTTCTTTGATGGAAAAACTGAGTAAACATGACAACACAATGATCCTATGAATATTTACTAAGTAATAGAATTTATCTGAGACTGTTTTTAAAATAATTGTATGGAACACTTCAAATACAAAATTACTTTAATAAAAAAAAAGAAATTAATTAAACATGAAACAATAACCTTCATCTTCAACAATGTATAAAGGCTTTGGTATTATAACTAAATTTTTGATAGAAATATGTATGTGGCTCTGCATCCCATCATCCTACTGTAATCAGAAAATCTTAATTCTGAAAAGACATTCTTCATAAGGTCTTTAAACATAAAAATTAAATAGTTTGTATGGAAGATAAAGATATCTAGATTCTTTTCTGATGTTTGAAATGTCAACTCTCCAATAATTCTTGATAACTGAAGAATTAATAGTAAGCACAGCAGACCAAGAACATATATTGTTAAAATAGCTAATGCACACTTAGAGATTGTAACATATCTTAAACATTAAAAAATCTTTAGAAATGAATCCATATCATTAGTTGGCTTTTTCAACTTACCCAAAAAGTTCATACCATATCTGGCACTTTTTATCATAAAACTTCTCTAGATAGTCCATGCCATATTAACTCTTAATGGTCAACAAATTTTTAGTAAATAAATATATTTGCTGATGATTATATTCTAATTTGTCAGAAAATTCTGGGAAATTAATAAAATTTTCACACTGAACATATCCTCCAATGAACTTCATTCTTATATTAATGCTCCGATATGCAAAGATTGATGGTATCTTTATATTTCTGTCTATTTTAGTGGAAATCATTAAAGACATCTCAGAAACATTAAACATCATAAACATTAAATTATCTTGCAACATAATCTGATATTTAAGAAAAAAGAAATAACAAGCTGGAAGTTTGAGATGTAAATATGGGGAAAAAAAAACAAAAGAATAGTTTAATTGGTAGCAGAGCCGTAACTAGCCATTCCTGTGCCCTGTGCAAGAATTTGCATTTAGGCCCCTTAATTTATTTGGTTTGGGAAAATAATAAAACAAATACATTACAATATATTTTTTATCAAATTTATTTTAACTGAACTTTTCTGGTTTTCATTTCAGCAAATTCATCAATTACATCATCATAATTAATATTTTTAACGATATTGTATTCTATTGAAATAATAGAAATATTGGATAATCGTTCTTGTCCGATAATTGATTTTAAAAAATTTTTTATTAATTTTAACTTGCTAAAACTTCTCTCGCATGAAGCAATAGAAACGGGAGGAGTTAGAAATATTCGAAGAGCGACATTAATATTTGGGTAAGACTCAATTAAACCAAAATCATGAAGAGCCTGTAGAATATTAAGCGGAGATGCAGTTTCTATATTTTGTATAAGAGTCGTTACTTCAAACTTAAAACTCAATTTCGCTTGTGAATTCGTACTTTTTAAAATCTTTGCTATATTTAATAGCGAGATCTGCAGCCGATTTTTTAAAATCATCAACACTCATGTATTGTAAAGACAAACCGTAGAGAAAGCAAAAATCGTCACAGATAGTTTTCATTTTTTGATAACGCCAATCTATTTGAGACAACAGAGTGTCTAAAACACTGTAAATTTGTATTTTAAATAATTTTTCGGGTGTCAAGTTATTTCCTTCATTTGGTGTTTCATCTATTTCCATTATCTTAACTTTTTTTTTCGTTTATTATTAAGAAATCCATTTTCTATACCCATTTCTTCTGCCAAATTTTGTACTTCCTGGAAATTTTGTTTAAAACCTGTATCTCAAAGCCCTTGTAATGTACTACGTAATCCAGCAATTAATTTTGTTCCACAATCTATTGACAAATCTTTCTGTTGTAATGCTTTATTTGTTTGATCGATGCATTGTAGAATTTTATTCCATATAGAAAGAGTACAGATAAATTTATAATTAATTTGCAAAATCAAACTTTTTGCATTAGATACAGCTTCCGGATTCGAAAAATCATTTGCAATCGTTTGCAGTCCTTTCATTACTTCAGGTAATTGTAAATACAGCACCTTTATAATAACAAAAACAAATACACTGAGTTACATGCGTTTTTTTTTATCGCTAGCACTTTCGTGCTAGCGATAAAAAAAAACGCATGTAACGCTGAACTCAGTGTATTTGTTTTTGTTATTATATTTTAATTTGGCGTGTTAGTCATTCTATTGATTAGCACCTTTATTGCACTGGCCTTTGATGACCACCTTGTATCAGAAAAACTTTTAAGTGACAATTTTAGGCATTTCATTAAAATGTCCCAACGTGTTGTTGAGGACGAGAAAAAATTAAATAATCTCTGCACAGTACTAAAAAAAGTAATCATTCCTGGAGTTGTAGATGCAGCGTGGACACCAGCTAAATTTAGATTATGAGCTGCACAAGGTACAAATATTGCTAAATTATTAATTTCCAAAATACGTGCACTTACTCCTTTATATTTGCCAGCCATATTGGCACCATTGTCAAATCCTTGCCCCCTGCAATCCTGAATATCCAATTTATCAACTTCTAGTTTATTTAAAATTTCAGTTGATAAACCTTCTCCTGTTTTTTCATGTGACTGAATAAAGTTGATGAAGCTTTCTTCAATCATTAACTTTCCATTACAGTCAACATGGACATATCTTATCATCTGACTCATTTGTTCTTTTCTTGAAACATCAGGGGGTGCAGTCGAATATAATGGTGTAGTACTTTGCTTTCTTAATTCTGCATATGATTTCATTTCTAGTTTTGTCCCCAACTAAATTTATTATTTCATTTTGAATAATGGGTGAGAAATAAGAAACAACCTTTTTTTTATGTTTTTCGATATGTTCCTTTAAAGTAGTATTATAATGGCTGGCAAATTCAATCAAATTTTAAAAAATGCCACAATTTGGATCTCCAATATTTTCATTTGAACCTCTAAGAGCAATATTATTTTTGGCACAGAATAGAATAGCATCCAATATTATTTTCAATATTTCACGCCATATCATTTTTCCTTGTTAATTGAATTAACTACATAATCATTGATTGCATTTCCTAATTTTAGATTTTTTTCCATCACTTTCCATTTCACATACGAATTTCGGTGCTCCGGAGAATTTTCGTGTAAAGGAATAACCGGATGAAGATGCCTCCAATCATGAAATCCTTTTTGTGGATCTGAAAGATTATGTGATTTGTGTCCAAAAAGCATGCAAGGAAAGCAAAATACTGCATTTTGATTAATGGAATATAAAATCCACTTTCTTTTAACAATTTCTCCATTAATTTGTATAACATAAAACCAGTCCTTTGTAAATTTTCACCCTGAATCGTCTGCTTTCAACGTGTTAAAGTTAACGTTGTCGCCTTGATCCGGACCATGTATGACAAGGGAATATATTAATTTATTTGTAATAGTAGGCCAGGAATGGGGATCGTTGTAATTTAGCAGTATTTCTTCTGGAACAGTAGAGCACATATTTTGTACAGTATTATCGATTTGAGAGACAGTACTTTGTGCAGGCTTGTCCTCTTTTGAATTATTATGGGGCAACTGTAGTAAAATATCTTGTGAAGTAGTAGATTTTACTTCTTGTAGTGGCTCCTTGTTTTTGCTTCTCTGAGAATTGTCGTTCATTGAAGGGGTAGATGCCAAATGTAGTGTTGAATCATCATCTTGTGAAGCAGTAGTAGGTTTGACCTCTTCCGCACTTCCTCTGTTCTCAGGGGCGGACTGGCCATGTGGAAAATGTGGAAAATTCCACATGGGCCGTATACAATTTGGGCCGTTTTTTTTAAATATGTACATAATGTACTGTTTGGTTAAGTTTAATTTTAAAATATTCATATATTTTTTTTGTTGAGTAAGGTGTATAATATAGGTATATGTGTAGGCCTGTATCATTTTACCCGGCCCTACCCGTATCCGAAGTTAAATTAGTTCGGCCGATCTGAGTCAAACACTACATTAGCCCAAACAGAAAGCATCCTAGGAGAAAAATAATCAAAACAACCTTCTAAACAGAGAAAATTGGTCATTTGTTTACATTTCTAGAAACTATTCACAACTCCTATGAATCTTGATGCTAAACTATAGAAATGCGAGTCATTAGTTTTGTACCTAGCCACCAAAGCGATGATTGTAGTCATAACAAATTTAATGACCACTTATATTATTTCCATTATTTTAGGTAAGTAAAAAAATGTTGAATAACATTTTTTACTTACCTAAAATAATAATAATTTCTCTATATTCCAAACGATTTAATTAAAAATAATCTATTTTGTAGTGTGAGGCCGGGACTTCATCCCCTCTCCAATAGGAAACTGGTTGTCGAGATAAAGCTAATAAATCGGTGATTTATTTCGTAAACAAGAACGAGTGTAAGACGATTTAATTGTCGCATTCCCGGACCAAATTCACACATCTTCGATCTAAATCAGGGAAAGTGGGATAGAGAGCAACCGGGGAGAGTTCGACTGTCATCTTACAGCGAGTTCAAAGCACATTAGACCAAGATTTACGGGACCGTCACTAAATATTCCTGAAAACGCATTTCAAAAATTAAGCAGTATTTTAATACAGTTTAATCCAGTAGCTACTCAACACAATATTATTTCAGAATTGCAACATTTTAAATCGTCATGGAATATTTTAAAGGAAAATGTCAATGAAACTTTTATAAAATTAAACGAAAATGAACATTCTACTGATGATCAAGTAGAAACTAATAAAGATGCGATTTTATCCTC